ACGCAGAAGCTGGTAGAATGGAGGGGGGGCAGTGGAAAGATACTTTAGGAGCACTGGGGAGAATTCCCCGGGATTGGAGAGCGTGCGAAAGAGAGACTCCGGCAGACGGTTTTAGAGTAAAGGTATTTGAGTCGCTATCTAAGAGGCGCCAAGTGTGTAAGTGGGTCTGTATTATCTGGGGAAGTAAGGTGGGACAGGAGCTGCGGTGGCTCAAGTGGTTAAGACGCTGAACTGCAGGCTGTGGAAGGTCGGTAGTTCAGCCGTTCGAGACCCGAGTGTGCCGCATGACGGAGTGACCTCCCGCCTCTAGTTCCAGCTCCTGCCAACCTAGCAGTTCGAAAGCAAGAAATTGCAAGTAGATAAATAGGTACCACTTCGGTGGGAAGGGAACAGCGTTCCGTGCGCCTTGGTGTTTCGTCATGCCGGCCACATGACCACGGAAACGTCTTCGGACAGCGCTGGCTCTTCGGCTTTGAAACTGAGATGAGCACCGCAACCCTAGAGTCGGATTCGACTGGCTTTCGAGCAAGGGAACCTTTACCTTTACCTAAGGTGGGACAAAGCGGCGGGATGTCTCCCGAGTGCCCCAAATCCGTCTTTCCCTGTGTGGGTCGGTTCCCTCGTACACCGTCCCTGTTCCGCTGGGTAGGATACAGCACAGGAAAGGTGCGTGTTTAGTGTGAAGGAGAGTGATCCTATCCCATGAAGCGTTGTTCTTCGTATGGAGGAGAGTGATCCTAATCCTATGAAGCGTAGTTGGGTAGAGAAGGACGGGAGGGTGAGCTGTAATCTTCTCTGCCCTTGGACCATTTGCTTTTTAACCTTCCTTGGACCGGGGGCCTGTGTCGGACCACTGTTCTGTACAGCACCTACCACCTTGTTCCTACTGAAAGAACAAATGTGTGGAGCAGAGAGAGAATGATGTTCCAAGCTGGAGAGTGAGGTTTTGAGGAAGGTGGTGTTTGGGTGGAAGAGAGGCCGCTATCCTACTGGTCTTTACCGAGGAGCATCTTTCATTGAAACGGGAGAGGCTTACTGCGGAAGCTCGGGCTGGAATCAATGTTGTTAGGCTTTAAGGTGCCACTGGACTTTTGCTTTGCTTTACTTCAGAGGAGATATTATTAGGTGTAGTCTGTAAAGGGTTGTTTACAGAAACAAGTGACTAATTAGTTTAATTCGCTGTAGACTCATTGTGGCTTGTGACTGCCTCATCTTGCCACTGGGGTCAGTGGCTGCCTCTGCCTGGGTGCCTACCGGACCACGTCTTGGCATGGAGCCTGATAGGTCTGCCTGGCTAATTTTGGGTGCCTTGGCGTCTCTCATGTGGTAGGAAGAAGCAGCATCCCTGCAATGCCCTTACCTGTCTCCGATCATCATGTTTGACTTCTAGTCCGCTTACCCCAATAGAATAAAAAGGGTAATGAAAGCAGACATTTTGGACAATGCTTCTGTCATGCGAGGGCTCAAGTTGGCCCGTCCCGAGCCTGTGTTTCTTTTTGGCCCTTTTCAAAGAAGCCTCGGTAACCTGTTTTCTTCTGTGCTGCCCTGGTGTGTACCTCCGGTGGCTTTTGTATCTTCCGATTTGCTCCTGTAATTCATTGGTGCTCATCTGTCTTTGGCAGATGCCCAATTAGCTTTGTGCTTATAAAGGTGCCACTGGACTCAAAACTTTGTTCTGCTGCTTCAGACCAACAACGCTACCCACCTGAATCTTGCTTTGTGCTTTTCACTCTGCTTAATGCAATCACCTCTGTGCTGGGAAACTTAGAATCATAGAGCTGGAAGGGACCTCCAGGGTCATCTAGTCCAACCCCCTGCACAAGGCAGGAAATTCACAAACACCTCCTCCTCCACACCCGCAGTGACCACTGCTCCACTTCCCCTTTGCCTTGTGAGCTTCCAGTTTGGTTACCCTAGAGGGACCCTGTGGGGAGTGTCTGGATTTTCTGTTGTCACTAACGTGCTGTTTGCATGGCAGTTAATGGTTTATAATTATCTTCTCTAAGGGGAGGCATAATTAATCCCCCTCATGCCCCTGTACCTTCTTTTCCCTCTGAAGACTTGTGTGTGTTTAGTGCTATGGGGAAGAGATGTGTTTGTGAGCCAGCCAGGCCTTCAAATGTGATGTTAAGGCACTGAAAAGGGCGCACCTCACAAGAACCGGATACCATTAACATACCTAACATACCTTTTCCTAGCTTGGTGGTAAATGTGATTCCCCCCCCCCTCCAGTTTATAAAAGACAGAACTATGATGGCAGTCTGTATTATGAATTACAAGAACAGAGCTGGTGGCTGGATATATATTCTAGATAAATGTGAAACGAAAGAGAATTTTGCATGGATGAGGTAGAGCTGCATCAGTGGTCTGTAAGGAGGTAGTGACAAGTCTGGTTTCTTCTTTTCTTTCTCCCCCTGAAGCGGAGAGGTGAGAGATGAGGACGTGGTGGGCCCTCCTGGGCCGGCCTCCAAACTCCTGATCCCAGGGGATTGGGGGAGGAGATCTCTGCTTCCTGCAACCAGCCATGGAGTGCCCCCTTTCCGCAGAAGCTTCAGAGGAAGACCCCCAGCCGGTGCCTGCCTGTCAAAAGCAGGTTAGGCGACGAAGAATCATGGTATACAGGTGAGAGAAGAGTTGGTCTCCCTAGAAATTCAAGTGAGGGAGCAGCTGTATTGCCGCCTTGAGACTTCTCGCATCACTTCACATTTTCAGGCCTTCCCCTGAGGAGCAAGAGCCCCCCACCGTCTGCTGGAAACCCCTTGAGCAAGGCAGAGTGCCTCCCGTCCAGTGTGAGGATGCAGACAGGTCACCCAGCAAGAGACAACGGCTGCAGCAGGGACCTCCGAGCCCAGTGGTGGAGAGCAAAGGGGAAGCGTGTGACAGAGTGGGGGAGACCCTGTGGCGTGTCGCATCCCCTATGGAGAAGGAGCAGCGGAAAGTGCTGGCTGTGGATCTGGAGGACTTTTCCACAACTCAAGTGCCTGTGAGTGGGATGTTGTAGAGCAGTGGCTGGGATATGGGGGAGGACCTTGATGAAATGGGGCCCCAACCGAATAAGGACCACGGACGTGGTTTCATAGCTCCCTCCTCCATGGCACCCGGTTGCCTCTCCATTAGAAATCCCGCCCTGTCCCATGTGTCCAGAGCCACCAAGACAAAACCTTCTGGGGTTTGCACCTTCATTTGCGCACTTCATACATTTGTTAGGCCAGTGATGGCAAACCTTTTAAGAGACCGAGTGCCCAAACGGCGACCCAAAACCCACTTATTTATCGCAAAGCGCCAACACGGCAATTTAACCTGAATACTGAGGTTTTACTTGAGAAAAAACAACTCATACATTAACTTAAGAGGATCCAAACAAAGTAAGGAAAGCAATCCCAAATGCTTTCATTTACTTAAAATTATTTGGCAGAGAATTCGACACTTGAATGATGGTCTGGGCCTGGCTGGGGCGATGGCATGCGTGCCCACAGAGAGGGCTCTGAGTGCCACCTCTGGCACCCGTGCCATAGGTTCGCCACCACTGTGTTAGGCTGTCTCAGAAAATTCTCCTTAACTGCCAGTTCAGCTGTGGCTACGAGTGAACAGGAACTCCCTGCCCACTTCTCAAGAGTTAATACAGGAGTGAAGGCACAGGATCTCGAGCTGGCCCATAAGGTCATGTCGCTCTCGTGATGCTGTGTGCTACCCAGTTAGGAGAATAGGGCCCTGTGGTCTATTGTCTCAAGCTGCTTGGATTGTGTACTGCTTGCGTCCCCCCAAGTCAGCTCTTGGGATGGAGGAAGGGGAGGAGAGCAGACCCCTGATCTTCCCTGTCCATGAGCTGTTGGGGGATGTCTCGCTTTCCCCAGGAAGCTCTGGAAGGGTGCTCACCTCTGCAAGGATCACTTGCGTCCCTCTGTGCGAATCCTCTCCATTCAACCAATATGAATGAAGCCGGATCCTCCTGGCAGGCGAAGGGTCAAAGTAGCACCGTCTCCAGGTGAGCAAGGACTTGTTTGACCAGAGAGAGGTCCTGGGCTTGGGTGCCCAACTTGAAGCCCTCGGTCTTCTGCTCCTTTCTCTCTCCCCCTCTCCCCAGATCGTCTCCGCCTAAGGGGCCTTCCACTTCCTGCCAGGAGCCTCAGGGGAGGCTGGCCCATGCTTGCCAGAAGCCGTGGCCCCAGAGGCTGCCCCCCTCTCAAGGTCACGAGTCAGAGCGCCTGCAAGCCAAAAGGCAGCGTCTGCAGAAGGTGGCACCCCTGGCCAACGGCAGCGAGGGGGGGAAAGCGTCCGCCCTGGAGAAGGCCCGTCGGCAGATCCTGGCCATCAGCCTGGAAGACTGTTCCTCGAGCCAAGCGAGAGTGAGTTGGGAGGGCAGGGGGGGGGGGAACGTGCCGAGGGAGCGGGAGGGCAGCGTCCTGGCCCAAGTTTCGGTTCAGACGTCTCTTCTTGCTGGCAGGATGACGGTGCTGGCAAGGAGCCACTGGAGACCTCACTGTCCCCCTGTAGGTGAGTGCTTCTCCACAAAACAAACCGAGGCTCGGAACTGGCTGTGCCGCCTTTCCCCGACAGGGTGGTGCCGATTGATAAAGGAAGAAAACTCACCGGCTTCCAGGGCTTTTTTGCATCGATGCCTCGTGTCACCCTCCTGTGCTCCCTTGTGGTGCGAAGGGGCGGTCTCTCTGGCTCCCTGGTCTCCCTAGAGCACCTTGGTTTCTGGAGGGCCGAAGGAGGCTGCCCATCATTTTCCTTGTTTTTTTGCTCTTGTGCAGCAGCCATCAGGTGACTCTGCCTCACCCAACGCCTGCTCTCGACGTGGAAAAGCCCGCCCGTTCTGATAAACACGAGAAGCATCATCGAACAGGTAGGAAGGGCTCCTGGATTTGGCTCTGTGCACTGTCGGTCTCTTCTTCTGTGTAAGGGGAATTCTGGGCCAGGACAGTGTCGTGGACTGTTTCTGTTCCTGTCGGTTTCCTGGGCTTATACGTATGTGCTATGGAAATTTGTAGCCTCATTAAAAAACAAACAAATCTGACTCTCACGATCAAAATGTGTGTCGGCCACTTTCGTGTACCTCATGCCGAAAGTGTCGTCTGGGGGGGGGGGGTGGTTCACTTTGCATCTGTGCATGTGGTAGGGGAGGGCGGTTGATCATGCACAGCTCTGCCAAGAGGTATGAAGTCTGCCAAGAGGGTGTTACGGGATATGTGTGTCAAGCAACTGTGTGCGGGCAAGGGGGAAAGGTGAACCGAGCCATGAGGATTAAGAGGAACAATAACTTTGTTAGTGAGTGGCCGTCTGCTCTTGTGCTTTCCTGTTCTTTTCTGCTCTTCCTCCCTTCAGATGCCGCTCCCGAAACGGCTGAACCTCTCTCCTCCTGGCCACCTTCAGTCTCCGCTCTCTTACGTCCAACTGTGGCCCCCCGTTTACGGCACTGGGGCCTGGTCCCCGTCTTCCAGAGCATGCGGTCCAAGCTGGAGGCTTTTGCCGACATCTTCCTTAGTCCGTCCAAGCCCTCCCTTCCGCCCACTGAGGGGACACCCTCCTTGCCACCGTGTCCACAAGAGACGGAGGACCGGGTGGCTGCGCAGCCAGGAACTCCGCGCCGAGGAGTCAACATTGAAGTCAAAATTGCAATTTCAGAGCCACGTTCCCGGAAGAGGACTTGCCACCACGGAGAAGAGGAGGAGGAGGAGGAGGCAGGCAGCCCGGTGGTGAGCGGGCGGCCGCCGATCCGCCAGTGGCGCCTGAACGAAGGAGATCCGGCCCCCCAGCACCGCCTTGGACGCAGCTACTCCTGCCCCGATTTCCCGGGGGCCCATTCTTGGCAAGCCTCCCCCACGTCTCCTTCCCTCTCCGCGCAGCTGCGACAGCGCCGGCACACCGTGTGCAGCTTGGAGGTATCCCGAGAGCTGGGCTGTCCCACCCTGCCCTGCCTACGCAAGGAGGTGTACCCCTTCAGTACACCGCCTGGGCGCCTCCTGATTGGTCCTTCTGTGCACACTCCCCACTGTGATGGTTCCTCCTACTCCTCCCCTGTGCCTTCCTGCTGCCTTGACTCCAGCCCAGGTCGCTCCAGGTAAAACCTTTCTCCTCATCCCCTGCCCTTGCCGCTCGTTTGCTGCTCCTTGGGAGTCTTGTAGAGCCCTGCCTTTCGAAACCCGAGGCAAGTCACCCAAGCATGGTACGGGCAAGCCCTCAAGCAAGCATCTGTTCCTCTCTGATAAAAGCTTATGCTTTTCAAAAAAATTAATATCAGAAGAAGAGATTGGACTTCTACCCTGCCCTTTACTCGGAGACTCAGAGCGGCTTACAGTCTCCTTCCTCTCCCCACAAGGGACACCCTGTGGGTGAGGTGGGGCTGAGAGAGCTCTTTCGAGGACTGCTCTTGGGAGAACACTTGTGACTGACCCAAGGTCACACTAGCAGCTGCATGTGGAGGAGTGGGGAAATCAAGCCCGGTTCTTCCAGGTTAGAGTCCACACTTAACCACTACACCAAGCTGGCATCTAAGCATCTAGCCGATATTTATCCTGCCTTTCCTCCCAAGTATATCAGGGTGGCATACATGATTCCCTCCCCCTCCCTGTTTTATTCCCACAACATCTCTGCTAGGTAGGCTAGGTGGAAGGAACGAGTCACCTAGCAATTTGAACCCAGCGTCTTCCAGATCCTAGAAAAAGCTTATGCTTTTCAAAAAAATTAATTCTTGATTGGACATCAGAAGAAGGAGATTGGACTTCTACCCTGCCCTGTACTCGGAGACTCAGAGCGGCTTACAGTCTCCTTCCTCTCCCCACAAGGGACGCCCTGTGGGTGAGGTGGGGCTGAGAGAGCTCTTTCGAGGACTGCTCTTGGGAGAACACTTGTGACTGACCCAAGGTCACACTAGCAGCTGCATGTGGAGGAGTGGGGAAATCAAGCCCAGTTCTTCCAGATTAGAGTCCACACTTAACCACTACACCAAGCTGGCATCTAAGCATCTAGCCGATATTTATCCTGCCTTTCCTCCCAAGTATATCAGGGTGGCATACATGATTCCCTCCCCCTCCCTGTTTTATTCCCACAACATCTCTGCTAGGTAGGCTAGGTGGAAAGAACGAGTCACCTAGCAAGGTTCACGACAGAGTGGGGATTTGAACCCAGCGTCTTCCAGATCCTAGTCAGACACTCTACAAGGAACATGTATACGAACTGAGAAGCCCCCTTCAGCAGAATAAAACGTCCCCAAAGCTCCCCTACTGTGTCCCTGCTGCTGCTTTACAGGACCAAGAACAGGGCTGGGAAAAAAACCCTTTCCCTGAGACCTGGGCAGGGTCTCTGGGCTAGGAGGACCGGCAGTCTGACTGAGTGACACACACAGCTCCTGACCTTCTGTGCAGAGATTGATCAGTGCTGGAGCGTAGTGGGGTTGAGGTGGGCCTCATGTTCCTTGACGGGAGTGAAGGCGTCAGTTCTCCTGCTTCCTACAGCTCTTTGTGCCACCGGTGCTGTGCCCCTGTTCCACCAGTTAGTCTTGTCTGTCTGTCCCCCGCCCCACACCCCAGAATGGCAAGGGGGAGCTGCTTCTCTACTTGTCCCGTTTCCTCCTGTGCCCTTCTAGGGACCTCTCCCCTCCTCCTGGTGGTGGACAGAGAGTACCCGGTGCCGGCCTGAATGCGGCTGACTCGGAGGTGCTCACATCAGAGCAGATGATGCTTTCGGAGTCCGAGATGAAGGTCAGTCACAGTCAGTCGGTGCTCCGGTGGTTGTAGAAGAGGGCTGTGTTTGAGAGGGATGTTGTTATTTTGCATGATCGTGCCCTTGTCGTTCCCTTCTCTCTCCAGAGTTCCCAAGAGAACACAGTAGGGAAGGTTTCCTGCATAAGGATCCGCAGGACGCCTGTCAGGCAGCAAGCAAACCTCACCCCCATGGGGCTTCCCCGGCCTGTCAGGTGAGAATGAATGTCGACGAGAGGGTTAGAATGGAATGGGCAAGGGTTTACTGCTCATGGACGAAGGGGTGGGGGTTTGAGACGAAAGGACAAGGCCCGGGAGGAACTGTGCTCTGCAGTGCTGGGAGAAGAGAGGGGGTCTGGTACAGGCCCATAGCTACAGTGGGGCATCTTGGGGCCCGCCCCCCGACGTCCCATCCGGCCCAGGCCCCCCGGCTTCCAATTTTTTATTTTATTTGTAGTGCTCCCTTGGGGGTGTGTGTGTGTCTGTGCGGTGTTCCCCCTAACTTATTTAAAGGCCCCGAATTTAAACATCTTGGCTACGGGCCTGGTCTGGTAGTTCATAGGCTTGGGGCAGATGTGTATATAGTGGGGGGGGGACGCAGGGGTTATATGCAAGAGGGGAGTGGAGGCAAAAACAATGGCTGCCCACTAGTTTTAAAGCTGATCATCTGGGTTTCAATTAAACATGGATGAAGTTGGGATCCCTCATTTTATTACTGACCAGGGGCTCCACCCCTGCTTGCTCCACCCACCAACCTAGGCTTACCAAGTGCTGGCGGGGAATCTGCGTGTCTTGGCAGGTTCCCTGCCGCGGGGACGGCGACACGTGTTGCACCCACCGTCGCCAGGATGTGACGCTATGCGTCGCTCTGGCAACGGGACTCCAAACAGCCCCGTTGCCAGAGTGATGCGTAGCGTCACA